TTCTCTTCTCTTCTCTTCTCTTCTCTTCTCTTCTCTTCTCTTCTCTTCTCTTCTCTTCTCTTCTCTTCTCTTCCCTTCCCTTCCCTTCCCTTCCCTTCCCTTCCCTTCCATTCCATTCCATTCCATTCCATTCCATTCCATTCCATTCTATTCTATTCTATTCTATTCTATTCTATTCCTGAAAGAGATAAACATGGTTAATAAATAGCCTGGCTCTCCAATTAAAGGCATGGTGTGTGTGTGTGTGCAGGTTGAAATAGGGAGGTGTAATTGATAACAAGAGAGCTATATCCCTGACTAATTCTGCAAGGGATGATGGTGCCAAATAATGATGATATCCAAGCAAACGCCCAAAGCTTCAAGTTCTGACCTTGAGGCCTACAGCACCTGAAGTAACCAGGGAACAAACCAAGAAGAACAAGCATACTAGAACTGACTATCAGAGTTGTGGGATTATTATTGTGATCTCTATGTAATTCTAGTAGTCACCCCAATAAAAATATCTTGCATTGATAATTCTGGGCTTTTCTCCACTTGCACTTAATTCCAGTACAAGCAAACCTTGGCCAGTACTTATTTTCTGCTATATCTCTATATCAGGGTTCCCCAATCTTTCCAGCTTTGCGGCTGGGTGGGGTGGGAGTGGGGATGGTTCCACGTGAGTGCGGGGACGTGCACACACAACTCCATTTGCGTGAATGGCATACACACATGGATACCACACACACAAATGGAGCATGCACACACACGCTCACTTACACAAGTGGGGATGCGCGCACACTCGCCTGCCATTTCCACAACTCGGTTCCGAACGGTTCAAGGGACCTCTGCACTATATAGTTCCTGCATCTTGTTCAGAGTTTTTGCTTAAGACAGACTGAAGGGGCCTTTCCTTGAATCCATGCCAATATAGTATTTTCCCCTTCATGCAATCACTGCTCAAGGGGATCTTCAACTCATGGGAAATTAGCTTTTAGCACCTATTCCTTCACAGCGGGGTCCAGTGACTGTAGTGATTTAATAGAGGGGCAACAGGGGTAGGATGGGGAATGGCAATGGGACTTGGCCAATTTTGTGCTGGGCTAGTTACCTGCTGACTTAAGACGGGGAAGACAGCACTATATCTGGGCACTGGGGAAACTTTGGATATTAAAAAAGAAGCATGAAATATAAATAGATGAATTAATTAACAAAAATAAGATATGACAGAATTGTTTTAGTACTCTAACCTTTGACCAGTATTTCCTGTGACACCATTTCACCCTGCTGCTCCTCTCCATATATGAAACACCTCTATTGTTAACCTTTATTCTGCGCAATGTGGACAGACTTATAGAACTTGGTCCTTCAATCAGTGGGTCAAATTTGAGCACCTAACTTGGAATAAGTAATTTCTTTGAAGTTATACAGATTTTATTTTATTTCATAATTATTTTATTTACTTTGTATGGCATGGTGATGGGAACTCACCCTGTCCCACAGTATTGCCAGGCCTTGAATTGATGTTGTGTCGACCATTTCTGGTCAGCAGATCCAGCATCCTTATCCAGCTGCACCAGTGTATCTCTGGTTATACAGATGTAACTTATGTAAAAAAAAATCCTTATTCCCCCCATGGGCAGACTAGCACTCATGAAATTATCTTCTCTCTCCATCCCAGGTCTCCAACTCTGAAATTGAATGCCTGCAATTTAAGATTCACAAGCATTTTGAAGTTGGCTTCATTCAGCCAGGATCAGTCAAGGTGTACAGCTACTACAATCTAGGTAATGGAAGACTTATTGAATACACTTGAATCCCTCCTCCTAATTTCCCCACAACGACCACTCTGCGAAGTGAATCAGGTTGAGAGAGAACAACTTGCCCAAGGTCATCCAGCTGCCTTTTATGGCGGAAAATCAGTTTCCTTCTTTCTAGCCTGATGTATTAACCATTAGACCAAATTAGCTCTTTCCAAGGAACTCAACATACTGGAGGTTGGCAAAATTAGGCAAAAATACTCAATAATAATTGATACTTTATAAAATATTCCTGACTTTCCAAAAGTCTCTTTATACTCATTGTATAAAGGCTGAAGTGAAGAATGAATCACTTGAGAACGCTGAAAGTTATTAACACAGAGCTCTGTCCAGTATTTTGGTAGCCTTCTGGTGTGAGTTTCCTTTGCTTGCCTCCTGAAGAGCAGAAAACAATGCTAGAGGGGGTCTAGAACAACTCATTGCAACCAACTCGCTATGGCCACCTTGCCATGGACAACTCATGTGGCCAACCTGCCACAGCCAATTCGCTCCCGCCAACTCATCATGTCATAACTTGCCATGGAGCAAGAGTTACACTAATATCAAAGAAATGGTGGAATAGAATCATTAAAAAAAGGGGGACAAAATGAAACGTAAATGACGAAAATTAAATTTTTTTTTAATTATTTTAAATAATTAAATTGAATTGTTGAATTGTCCCACAGTGGGTTATCCTGTGGCGGGTTGGCTGCAGTAAGTTGGCCATGGCCAATTGGCTGTGGCAAGTTGTTCCATTTTGAAGCCAGTGACACCAAGATCCTGTTTTTCTCTGCTCTGGTGGGCAACATGATGCTCATCTTGGGGGGGGTGGGGAGTGGTACTGAGACTTAGGAAGCTGAGCTTATCATGGCTGAGGAAGAGCCATTTTGCCATTCTAATTAATATTTTGAAAATTTGTTATTTTTATTTCTGAACAACATTTTCAGTGCAGCTCTTTGACCCCAGAAATAGCACTATTTCAAAGAAATTTGCCTGTAAAACCCATTTATATAGTAGGCAACATTGCAAAAAGGCATTTGTTTGGAAAAGGAATCCCCAAATGCACACACACTTATAAAATATTAAATAACTGTTTAAAAAATATCTAATCCAACCAGCTAAATATGAGCCAGCAGTGTGCAGCAGCAGCCAAAAAACCCAATGCAATCCTAAATTGCATTAACAGAGGGATACAATCAAGATCAAGGGTGGTACTAATACCACCCTATAAAGCCTTAGTAAGACTATACCTAGAATACTGCATCCAGTTTTGGTCACCACACTATAAAAAAGATGTTGAGACTCTAGAAAAAGTGCAGAGAAGAGCAAGCAGGATGATCAGGGGACTAGAGACTAAAACCTATGAAGAACCGTTACAGGAACTGGGCTTGGCTAGTCTAGTGAAGAGAAGGACCAGGGGAGACATGATAGCAATGTTCCAATATTTGAGGGGCTGCCACAGGGAGGAAGGGGTCAAGCTATTTTCTAAAGCACCTGAAGGTCAGACAAGGAATAATGGATGGAAACTGAACAAGGAGAGATTTAACCTGGAAGTAAGGAGAAATTTTCTGACAGTGAGAACAATCAATCAATGGAACAACTTGCCTTTGGAAGTTGTGGGAACTTCATCACTTGAGACTTTCAGGAAGAGATTGGACTGCCATTTGTCAGAAATGGTATAGGGTCTCCTGCTTGGGTGGGTGGGTGAGGGTTGGACTAGATGACCTACAAGGTCCCTTCCAACTCTGTGAATCTGTATCTAATCATTTTACAAAGTTGAAAAACCAAAACCGACAAACATCCATGCACAGTTCTAATTCAGTTTTGTTTGGCAGCACAGATCAATGGATTATGCTTTAATTTCAGGAAAGGATGTGCTCACTCAAGACATTCTGCTGCAGAAAGCATTTGCATTGATTTTGCATATAGGTGCAACTCTAAGATTGCCTGCTGTGTCATAGGGATACCTAACTTACTTGGAAAGTCAATTTGTCCCCATTTTGATCCCATTCTTTCTAGGTCTTTTAAACTTCAGTGAAATTGCACGATTATTGGCATGTAATAATTGGAGACTTTAATACTGGAAGGTGTTAGTTTTGTAACAGACCGTAAGAATCATGAATACAGGTAGTCTTCTGACAAAAAAACCCCTCTCTTTTGATAAACTGGATTCAGACTTACAACCATATGGTTTGCTTAATGACCATGTGATTAGATAATAACTGCAGTAAATCACTTAATGACCATAATTAAAATGATTATAAAATTGAGTCTGGTCATGTGAAGATTCAACTTACAACAGCAACGACTTATGACTTATGCGGTCATAAGTTGAGGTCTATCTATATTCTATTTTATACTGTCAAAAAAGTGGCATGTAGAGGAAAGATCAAGGGGGATAAGAATGACAGAAGTAAACATTGTGCTGTCACACCACAAACCCTTTTATATGTTAATTGTAGCATCACATGCATGCTCAAAGCTTGCAATGCAGTACCATTTGACGGAAGGAGCAGAATTCTATAGATGTGCCTGTTCCAACTTACTAACTCCATTATATAATGGGATATCTGTCAGGCTACAGAACTTTTTCCCATTCAATCAACAAGAATGATCTTCTGAAAACCAAACGTATCAAAAGGAATCCTTTATTGAGATGAGACAATTCATGTAGGGATTAAAAGCAGCATCTAACGTGCCTCAGGCATGCAGGGATAGATAAGGGAGTTTAAGACCCCTCCCCTTCTCTTGATGTGTATTTAGTAAAACGAAGAGCCAACATGTTTATTCCCCCCACTCTTCTGAGAATGATCTTTTTTGAGGTTCCCAGGAGACAGCTCCCAGCAGGAATTTTTATGGTCTCTTCATCCTGTGGCTGTCTCTTTCAGAGGTGATGGGTCTTTCAGGGCATCTGGTTTCCGTCCCTCCATAGTATATCATGGGTTATCCAAATTCAATATAAGATTTAATATATCCATGTTACATCAAAAAGGATTTCTTATATCAACTTCCCCCGCTTCTTCTTCCATGAAGAATGGCAGATACACGAATCCTCTCTTACCTTTCTTATTGCATTATAGGGCTCTGTGCTTTTCAGGTAAATGCTTAATAAAATTCAATCAGGCAACCAACATTCTTGATAAGTTTCCATTGCACTGTCATGTCAGACATGCCCCAAACTTGAAATTTTGAGAAAATGGTTTACTCTTTGTTCTTCCAAATCAGGCGTGTCAAACTCAATTTCATTGGGGGGCTGCATCAAGTGTCAAACTTGAGTTCATTGGGGGACGCCCCACCCAGGTTTGACCTGGGGGGACGGAGATAGTCATGGCCAGGGTGGGTGTAGCCAACTTGACGTCACTCATCAAGGCTCCATTTTCAGCCAAGATGGCCTCCTGCAGCCCTCTGCCAGTGAACGGGCTCCGTTTTTGGCTGTAACATCCTCCTGCAGCCCTCTGTCATCAAAAATGGAGCTTGGGTGGATTGTACACGGTCTCCCCGAGCTCTATTTTTTCTGGCAGAGGGGTGCAGGAGGCTGTCACAGCCAGAAACAGAGCTCAGGAGGGCCACACAGAGGCACCACAGGCCAGTCCTTCACTGTTTTCACGGTGGCCCTGCGGGCCAGATCTAAGCACCCCATGGGCTGGATCCAGCCCACGGGCCTTGAGTTTGAACAGCCCTGTCCTAAATAATTATCTCTATAATCACCATAGATTTCTTGTTGTGATATATGCACATAACTTTCAATTCTTCCTTTAGATGAACAGTGTACCAAGTTCTACCATCCAGATAAAGGAACAGGTCTTCTCAATAAGATATGTCATGGTAACATTTGCCGATGTGCAGAAGGTAAGTTGCAATAAATAAGTAAAGTTTGCATCTGATCACCAAAATGGAAGGTTTGGGGAAGAGACAGTATGGAATCTCTGTCATATAAATTTAATTAATTTATTTATAAAATTTATTGGCCACCCATCTTACCATATGGTAACTCTGGGCAGCTTACAGTCATAATATGTATATCTATACATATACGTTTAAAACATAAATAATTAAAATCAAACATTAAAACCTAAGGACACCGGGGGAGGAATGGAGGGAGGTGGAATCTGTTGTTACTCAAATAACCACCTCCATTGTGCTGTTCGCCCACTGGGGCCCCAGGCCAACTGGCAGAACCAGGTCTTTAGGCTCTTGCAAAAGGATAGGAGGATTGGGTCCAACCTCACCTTGGGGAGGGGAAAGATGTTCCAGAGGGTAGGAGCAACAATAGAGAAGGCCTGTCTCCTGGACCGCACCAGCTGGAATAATTGGGCTGACAGTGTCTGCAGCTTGCCTCTTCTGCTGGCACAAGTGAAACGGGCCAATCCCAATGAGGTGAGATGGTCTCTCAAGTAATCTGGACCCATGCCTGATGGATGCTCAGATCTAGTCCCAGGTGGATCCCAAGTGTGGAGACGGTCCATGGAGATGCTCAGGAACAGGTCTTGAACTGTTATCTGGGAATCTTGTTGGCTCTGATGGACAGGGGCCTTGGTGCTGTCAGCAACACCACTAGCCGGCTACAGGCTACAGGTTGGGGACATTAGAGACAGTATAGCTTGTCCCATTTAAATTAGCATTACTGATTTCTGATTTTTAAATGTAGATATTTAAAAATGAGACATTATCTGCTTCTGTGCTGGCAACTTCTTTCCCTAGCAATGTCTTTTAAATGAGAATGTGTACCCTCAACAATCAATCCAACATGCTGTCTTCTCTTTTCCCCTCTTGAAGAATCCTGTTCCTTGCTCAACCAGCAGAAAAAGATTGATCTTCAGTTACGAATTCAAAAAGCCTGCGCCCCAAATGTGGATTATGGTATTTATATTG